ATTCAAACAGGAGGTTTGGATCCAGTCTCCTTGAGAGGACGTTGAAATTACTCTCTGAGCAAGGGAATCATCCTTACTAAGACACGTTCAAGTACAGCAGGAAATCTGAGTGGCAATCAGCGTCTCCGTCCCCCTACACCGTCCGAGTTCTGGGTAAACCCTGTTCCGCCCTCCACCGAATCAGACAAACTCTGGAAAACAACACACAGATTGGAATCAAAGATCCTTCACTTCTCTGGAAACGTGAGTCAACAACCAGATTCTCTTCTTCAAATCAACGAATGAAATTTCCCACTGAGCCTGAACTAATAGTCTGTCTTCCCCTCACCTTCCAGTTCCGGCTGAGAATAGTTCAGAGCAACACTGCACCGTGCTTAATCTCTTCAAATAAACCTGTTAAACCTTCCACCTTTGTCTCTCTGTTTGGACTTCTGCATTTTGGGTCAGACCTTTATTAAAATCATGACAGCGTTTGCACTCTGCAGCACTGCTCAGAGACACAGAGGAGAGAGAAAGTGAAGCAGATTCGTTAAAATGTATAAGTGCACTATCTGATAAAGGAGAACACTGTTAAAGTAATCCTGAGGGTTATTAGAAAGTGGTCAGAGAGGACAGGGTTGTGAGGAAATACTGTTATTTCTTCACATTCTATGCCGTATGTCAGCACAAGATCCAAAGTATGAGGATGAGAATGTGTGGGGATATTCACATTTTGAACAAAGCCAATAGTGTCTAAGATAGCACTAAAGGCTGCTCTTAAGCTATCAACTTCAATGTCAGCATGGATGTTAAAATTTCCCACTATGATGACCCTGTCAGTTTTTAATGCCAAATCAGAAAGGAACTCTGAAAACCCATCTTAAAATTCAGAATAAGGACCTGGTGGACGATACAAAGTTACAAAAAGAAGAGGTTTTCTTCCTTTGCAATTTGGATCAGGGAAATTAAGGGTTAAATGTTCAAAAGAGTTGTAGGTATTAACTGTTTTGGGAGTAATCAGTAAGTCAGACTGAAAGATTGTTGCTACTCCTCCTCCTCGCCCAGAACTTCTGGGGATGTGAAAATTTAAATAGCTTGAAGGAGTTGCCTCATTTATGCTCACATAATCCTCTTGTTGCAGCCAGGTTTCTGTAAGGAAACATAAATCAATGTGATTATCACAAATCAAGTCATTAACTACCAGACTTTTAGAAGAAAAAGATCTTATGTTAAACAGACCACATTTAATTGTTTTAACTTTTTCCCCAATTGGAGTTATTTTAACTTTAATTAGATTATCATGATTCTCCTTTGGGAATATTTGCTAATTTATTAGATTTTGGTCGTGGGCAAGACACTGTCTTGATGCAGTAAAGAGTGGGTAACAGTAGAGAAGCTGCAGAGAGGTCTGTTAAACTACAACTCTGCTTCCTGGTCTGCACCCTGGGGGGTCAGGGTTTTGGAGGGCTAATAAATGTGGCTCGATTCCTAGAAAGAAGAGCTGCACCATCCAAAGTGGGATGGATGCCGTCTCTCCGAATCAGACCAGGCTTTCCCCAAAAGGATTGCCAATTATTAATGTAGCCCACATTGTTTTCAGGACACCACCTAGACAACCAGCGGTTGAATGACGACATGCGGCTAAACATGTCATCACTGGTCAGATCAGAGAAAATGACGGAGTCTGACATTATTTTGGCAAACTTACACACCGAAGCCACACTAATTTTAGTGACCTCCGATCGGCGTAACCGCGTGTCATTGTTGCACCCTGACCATATTTTATTTCAATTTATAACATTTGTTCACTGTTTTATTGACTTGTTCAATCTGACCGTTATTTTTTTGTGTCAATTTTGTTGTTTAGAACATCGCATCTAGTTGCTATTGTTTAGGCACATCTGATGTAGGAACTACGTCAATGTTATTGGCTGGAGTGGCAAGGAAGAAGAAGGCTAGAGTGTGATGGTTTTATCTGCCCGGCTGCTCCAGAGAGAACAATCAGAAAAAAAGAAAAAAAGGTGGAGCGTGGGGCAAATAAAGCGAAGCGAAAAGCGAAGTTGAGTCCTTTCTGTCTCGGGAGTGCAACATCATTAAAGGCAGCGTGAATAACAATCTTACTGTATTTACCCTTATCCTTAGCCAGCAGTTTCAGGTAGGATTTGATGTCACCCGTTCTGGCCCCCGGCAAACATTTGACTATGGTCCCTGGTGTCTCTAACGCCACGTTTCTGACTATGGAGCTGCCAATCACCAGAGTTGGTTTCTCAGTAGGTGTGTCACTGAGTGGGGAAAAGCGGTTAGAAAATTGAACGGGTTGGTGGTGACCAGTGGGCAGAGATCCACAACTACGCTTTCGGCGTACAGTTACCCAATCGCCTGGCTGCTCAGGCACTGCTGGAGGACAGCTACGTGGGGGGGCCTACTTTAACTCCTGGATGTTCAACAGCCTGAAGCCTGGATTCTAACTCTGACACCCTCGCCTCCAAAGCTACAAAAATACTACACTTATTACACATCCCATTATCACTAAAGGAGGCAGAGGAATAACTGAACATCTGACACAGAGAGCAGGAGAGAGGAGAGGAAGAAGGAAGAGTTGGAAAAGAGTCAAGGGAGGGAGAGAGAGAAGCCATAGCAATGCTAAGCTAGTGCTAGCCTAGTCTAGCTACTCCTTACTACCAGAAATAAAACCGTGGGAAAGTGAAAAGTGCTCAGTAGAAAAGTGCAGCAGAAGGCGCTATGTTTTAAAGTAGTTTTGGTCAGTTAGAGTTACTGAGATCCAGAGATATCACAGAAAAAATAACTTCAGATGGAGATCCTCTGTACAGCTACAACACTCAGTTAATCCAAACAGGAAGTGAACAGGCCCAAACAAGTCCAAAAAGAAAAAAAAACTTCACATCATAGGAGACATTCTGCATCCAGATTTTAGTATCATCCTCAAACGCTGTAGCCTTAAATGTTGGGATCCTCAGGCTTGCCCACCAGAGGGCGCCGAGGATCCTCTTCTGTCTCTTGTTATTGTCTTTTAGGACTGGAGTTACTGTTGGGATCTGGAGATTACCCTCTGTCTCCAGCAGAGTGCGCCGTGGGTCTCCTAGGGCTGGAGTCTTCCAGCACACCTATTTCCATCTACTCATTAGGAGACCTTCCCTTTATAAGCTCCTGCCAGACCTTGCTTCCTCGCCGCAGTGTTGATCTTAGTTTGGTTAGCTACCTGAACCTCTGTTACTGATAGAATCTTAGTTGTCTCTAGTGTGAGATCAGATTCTAATCTCTCCTTTGTCTGTGCCTCACAGGAAACCTGTCGCTAGTCTGAAGCTCTGGGTGAGCTGCCTCACTGGAAACCTGTCTCTGGTCTGAAGCTCAGGAAGAGCTGCATCACAGGAAACCTGTCTCTAGCCAGAAGCTCTAGGTGAGCTTAACCTGCTAATCTGCCCTGGTGAGCCAACCTGAAGATTCCTATGTGGATTTAACCTGAAAGACTTCTATGTGGAGTTTACCTGAAGGTTCCTATGTGTAATCAGCCTGAAGAATCCTATGTGGGTATTCCCTGTCGTTCTCTGCAATGAGCTGGAAGCTCAGCCTGAAGAATCCTATGTGGATATTCCCTGTTGTTCTCTGCAGTGAGCTGGAAGCTCAAATCTAGGTCTGCCATGCTAAGCCTGAAGCTAGACGCTTAGCTTCTCATGAACTCTGCTAACCAACAGCCTCCGGTCCCAGTCAAGACTTCAGTGAAACAGTCTCAGAACGTGTTTATTCTCTCATGTTCAGAACTTTTAATAAACATTTGAACTTTTTCCCTGCCTCCTCCGTGTGTGTTCTGCATATGGGCTTGCTCCTTTGATCCATCATGACATTAAAGTTTTTTGGAGACACTGTATTGTTGGCTACAGAAACCTGTTCAAAGACTGACTGTTACTTTAGGTAAATGGCCTGTACTTATATAGCGCCTTTTTTCAAGTCAGGAGACTTGACCGAAGCCTTTACACTACATTCAGTCAAACACCCATTCACTCACACACTGATGGTGGAAAGCTACATTGTAGCCACAGCTGCCCTGGGGCTCACTGACATAACATGAATGCCTTTGACAGAATTCAAATGATCCATTTTAAGATTAATTCCAAGATTACAGGGAGATTAATCTAAATTAAAAAGCATCATCTATGCCCACCTCTAGTTTTTACCCAATCTATACTGATGAAAGGGCAAACCAATGAAGATCCTTATTGATTGTAAAGAAGTGAATATCACACCCACCCGAATGAAGCACAACTGTCTTTCTGTAAATGTCTCCATGTATCAGTGGAGCCAGTATTTCCATGTTTGTTCTCAGGTGGTTTGGTCAACTTTTGGGTTTAGAAGCAAATAAAACTCAGCAGAGATAAGACCAAATACCACCTTTAGTGATATGTAGACCTTCAGAACGGGTTAGGGTTAAGCCTAACCCAGGGGGCAGAAATGTTCCCTTCCTCCTGCAACGGTTCATAGCTCCCTTCTTTACCGCTGTGCACTGCAATAAAATGCTGCCTAATATCAGGGCGGCTGCACCTCTTTTCTTACCACATCAAAATATGTTTTTAAATAAAATTTTTCAGAGAGTCTAAGGGAGTCAAAGTGAGTCAAATGGGGTCAAAGAGAGTCAAATGGGGTCAAAGAGAGTCTAAGGGAGTCAAAGAGAGTCAAATGGGGTCAAAGAGAGTCTAAGGGAGTCAAATAGAGTCAAATGGGGTCAAAGAGAGTCAAAATGAGTCAAAGAGAGTCTTTCTTTTCCACTTTTCTCATGTTGTTTGAGAAGGAAAGACAGCCTTAAAACTTTTTTATCAGCCAACATATAAGCTGAAGCAGACTTAGATGATGGCTGAAGCTGACCTTGAACTTAACTAATTATTTTATAAAGGGAAATTTATGAAGAACAGGAATTTCCATTTCTGTAAATAAATAGAGTTGAGCTAAACTAACAGAACAGTTTGATTTCTGCTGAGATCAAGTCAAACACAGATGGAGTCGCTTTGTAAATCGAGTTCCAAAGCTGATTGATTCATGACTTTATTTTGCTGTATCAGAGTAAAGGAGACGGGACAGAAGTACAGATGCAAACGTTTCTTTTGTATATGTCTTAAGCATAGTGAAATACTATCTTTTCCTTGACTGGACCTGAAAAATAGAAGATTATGAGCGATGAAATGTGAAAAGAAGCTTTTTATTCCTCTGCTGCTGCCCGTCTCCTGATGACCAGGGAAACAGGCCCTTCAGGTAGAGCCTTGATCATGTTCCAGGCCTCGAATCTGGTCATGTCCTGCAGACCTGCTCCCTGAACCTGCAGGACTTCGTCTCCACACTGCAGACCGCTTTGCTCTGCTGCTCCACCTGAAAGCACAGATGTTTCCTCATCAGAAAAACTCCAGCTGGAGTTTAACTCTTTCCTGTAAACATGGCATACCCTTAAATATCCTGTTGATGACCAAAGGTCTGTCTCCTTGGATTGAACCTTTCCCTCCTTCCAAAGAAAAGCCAATCCCTCCAGCACCTTTCTCCAGGTCCACACTTATTGGGACGCCCTGTTCCTCTGCTGAGACAAAGTCACAGCCTTTCAGAACACAAACTGGGCAGAGGTCAGAGGTCAGGTGCTTTAGTGAGACTCACTGGGAGCACTGGGTTCCTCCCCTCTCCTGCTCCCTCCATCTTTGCCCTCTTCATCGGCTCTCTTGCAGATCACCACCACAGCCAGGGTTTGATTGCGGGCCTGACGTAGAACAGCCGTGGCGTCCGTGTGCTTGACTCCACGCAGAGTTTGGCCATTGATGGACAGAACCTCGTCTCCTTTCTGGATGGTTCCCTCCTGAGCTGCCAGTCCACATGGAAACACTTTGTGCACCTTTAGGGCAGAAAAGCACGGGAATGAACAGAAATAACCTTCTGGTGTAATGATTAATAAACAGAATGTGGCTGTGACTGGATGGGGTTAGGGTTAGCAGAACCAGGCTGAGGATTGTCGGATCATGGAAGCAGCTGCTGATCCCTGGAGAATGGAAAGTTTAAACCTAAACCTAAAGCAAGCAGCTTGATATATTCAATGAACTGATGGATAGAGAGGAAGATGAAGTGGTTGGAAGATGAGTTTTCACTCTGCTCACTGAAAGGACCAGGATCATCATCACATAAACAACACAGAGGAGCTTGGGTTCTCCTACCGTTGGTGCTTTGTTCTCCAGGTCACATCCTCCAGCGATGCTGAAGCCCAACCCAGCTCCTTCCTCTTTATGCAGGATCACAACGTGGATGTCCACCAGTTGCTGAGCAGAATGAAGTCATCATCAGACTTTACTTAATTTCTAAATATGTTTCCACACTAAACATTCAACTAGCTAATCAGATGTTTAGGGAATTTGGAAATATGTATGTATGATATGGTGATTATATGGTGATTCTCTTTTCCGAGGCTAAATAAGTCAAAGTATTGCTGCAAAAGGTTGAAGTTTATCAGCCTTCAGTCCAACTTTATGGTGACTGATCCGGTTCAGGTGCGTTTATCACAGTATTTAGGTTCAGAGCTTTAATCAGAGGTTTAAGTTTGCAGTCTTTCCCCAATGTTGGTATTTCTGACAGTCCAAATATGGTCACAGACTCTCCCTCCATCCTGTCATAATACCAGCATCCCCTTTGTGGCCTCAATGACTATCCGAATCAAACATCCTCCTTTGTTTTCCGTATCATTTTAATCAGGACTACTTGGTAGTTAAATGTAGACCACCTTGTCCATCTGATCCTGATCAATAAACCATTCAGAGGGGCTGGTGGCGAGCCCCAGGGCAGCTGTGGCTACAGGGCGTGACTGACTGATTAACTGGATGCAATGCAGTTACTTTTAATGCTCTTCAGTTTTTATAGATCATTTGATTTGTAAAAACAATAATTTCCTTTTCTATATGAAATCTCTGTGTCTGCATTAAAAAATAAATGTTATTGGTCCACCGATGAATTTTAGAGCAATAGAGGTACTTAGATAGTTTAGTTTTTACCTTCAGTGTCTCTTCTTCCAAAGTCTTAGCTTCTTCAATCATCTTTCGGATTTCCTGGGAAGGAATTCCTGACATGACGGAGTGAAGGCAGGTTGCCTGGTCCAAGTTCTCCCTGCCTTGCTCAATGGTGCATTCTCTCAGAGTTGCTAAGCTGCATTAAAGAAAGAGAACACATGAGGAATGCCGGTGATCACACACATACCTGTGGAAAGCCATCTCACCTGACAGAGAATCCTTTATTTGTGCAGACCGTACTCAGCTCAGACTCCGAGGGATTATCTACCTCCCTCGCTGGGGGGTCCATTAAGCTTTGGGACGGAGGGTTCCCTTGGTAGGAAGTAGGGTGGGAGCGCATTATTGCCTGTGAAACCTGGAGAGCAAATTACCAGAAAGTAAACAAAACCAGGTGATTACATTCATTTCAGTTGATCCCTTTTATACAGCAATGTAGTCCAGTCATGATTGCTTAATTCTATTTAAAGGAACCCTGCAGATTGCATCGAGGAATTGACTGGAATTAATCTTCTTAATCCCTCACACCGAGCATGCATGCAGTGACAGTGGAGAGGAAAAATTCACCCTGAACAGGAAGAGACCTCCAGCAGAACCAGAAGCAGGCTCAGCGTTAGCAGTATTCAGGTGAGGATAAGAAGCAGACATAGAAATCTAGAATATGTTCAATGTCAGTAGTTGCTGTTATGGCTTCTTCCAGGATAGAAACAGCTCAGCCTCGTTGGGGCAGCAGTCAGACGATGATCAGGTCTATAGCTACAGTATTAGTGCTCACTGCAGTGAATGGAGGCCATGAAGGCTCCTTGCCGCTGCCCTCCAAAGGTCCATAGATCAGAGGTCTGATCAGTCAAACATGTCTGCCTTAGGATTGAAATGGTCAAATCGTGACATAAAAGTTATGCATTGTCTGTGGAAGTGAAATGACGTTCCTGTTTGCTGAGGGACCCAGGGGCAGACTGGCCATCGGATTAGGAGCTACTAGTGGGCTCTGATTTGCTGTAAATCCCACAAACTGAGAAGGAATGATTAGCAAGAAGCAGGAAGATGTTTCTGTGCTGCTGCACAGGTTAACCATCCGACCTGTATAGTTCTGAATGCAGGAGAGCAGAAAAGACATAGACACTAGTACAGCCTTCTTGGCATCCTTAAAGAGGATGGATGGATGGATGGATGGATGGATGGATGGATGGATGGATGGATGGATGGATGGATGGATGGATGGATGGATGGATGGATGGATGGACGGATGGATGGAGGAACGTGCCTCCATGTGTGACTCCATCCTGTCTTGGTGTGATGAGGTTACCTGGTTGCTGAAGGCAATGATCTTCCCAATGTGTTCCTCCTCCTGGCTCCTCGGGGGCCGGCCCTCTGCAGAGGGAGGAGCTGCCATTGGGGCCTCTCCACAGTCTTCTCCAGAGGTCTGGTCTGAGTGTTTCACCTCCTTCTGTTGATCCACTCTGACTGATGAAGGCTGGGCTTCTGTGGAGGTGGTCAGATCCTGCTCTTTCACCTCAGCTTCTTGGTTGGACTGTTGAACTTTCCTGTCTGAACTCTCCTCCATCACAGAGTCGCTGATGGTGTCAGAGAAGGGGACATCATTAGAGAGGTGGTTTCCAGAGATCTGGTCCTCAGGGGACTCCGCTTCAGTTTGATCGCTGTCTTCATGAAGGACTGACTGAACAGCAGAGGGTGGAGCAGAGACGTCCTCGGTCAGGACGGATGCAGACCGCTCTGACTCTTCATGAAGGACTGACTGAACAGCAGAGGGTGGAGCAGAGACGTCCTCGGTCAGGACGGATGCAGACCGCTCTGACTCTTCATGAAGGACTGATTGAACAGCAGAGGGTGGAGCAGAGACGTCCTCGGTCAGGACGGATGCAGACCGCTCTGACTGCGTCTCATCGGAGAGGTTTTGTTTGCTCTTGCCATCATCTCTGTCTGAAGCAGGAGGAGGGTGACTCGGACTCGTACACTGCTTTTCTTTCAAAGATAAGGAGTTGGAAGGAGTGGTGGATCTCCTGCCGGCTCTTTTGTCCGGAGCTTCTGGACTAGAAAACGTCTCAAAGGAGTGAATCTTCTGCCTGATGGACATGGTGGCTGCTCCTGAGGAGGACCTGCCCCCCAGGCTTCTGCTGACTCCAGCTGCAGCCACCTCTGCTGAATGATTAGCTTGCCTCATCTGATCCTGGTTGTCTCGTCTTTTCTTCAGACTTGGATTAAACCAGGCTGGTTTCGGGGCCACTGGGGGGGGTACTTTTGGCCCGGAGGCTTCATTAAGCTGGTCCTCTGAAGGAGGGGGCTCCAGGCTTCTTTTATCTTCCTTCATGGTTGCAGGGGGGGGCTCTGGTTGAGACGGGTCTATGGCAAAGCTCTGATCGATCAGTTTAAGCCTCAGATGAAGAACCTGCAAACAGCAAGGAACCATTTAGGAGCCAAGAAGCATTTCAAAAAAATCCTGAATAAATGCAGAATATTAGCAGTAAACTCTGATTTCCAAATATCTGGGATGTTTCTTCTCGTAGTCGGAGGCGACTCCCAACATGTTTGTTTGTGACTTAGAGGGTTTAGAATGCATCAGCAGCAGCTGTTGTTTACATAACTGTAGAATAAATAAATAAACAAGGTAATTTCAAGCTGTTTTGTGTTTTTTTTATAGCCAAGAGAATCTGTCTTTTTCCAACTTCTGTCCCTTCAGCCTGACAGAAATAAAAGTCACCAAACACAGTTTTCCAACCTGTAGTGTGTATTTATCATTTTTCATTGCTGATAAAAGACGATGGCTGAAAGCAGGGCACAAAAATGAAGATTTCCTTCATTTTTGTGCCCTGCCCTGATTTAAGGCTAGGCTTAAAACTTTCATTTTTGATAAAGCTTATAGTTAGGGTGGCTCAGGTTATCCTGAGCTATCTCTATAGTTATGCTGCTATAGGCTTAGACTTTTGGAGGACATAGGGACCCCCATTTCATCATTCTGCTTCATTCTCTCTCTGTTCTCCTATTCTGCAGAATCTGTTAGTTCAATCTCTAACCTTCTGCTCTCTCTGCTTTTCCTCAGAGTAGCTTTGCCTCGTCTGTTCCTGTTTGGCTGTGACGTCATCCTGGAAAAAAACATCAGCTGTGCTGCTTCTATCAACACCCTTGTTAATAGATGTTGGAGATCGGCCTGTTTTCCAGTGTGGTCCTGTTTCTCTGACCGTGACTGAGTGGATGTGCTCTCTTCGTCCTCTGGCATGGGAGCTGCCTTGGAGCTCGTCTGCCTGGCTGTGTGTTTCCTGGACGGGGCCGCCTTTTACAGCTGCTTTTTGTATCTCTGCTTCTGTCTCCTTGAACCCCAGTCGGCCTCGGCAGATGGCCGCTCACACTGAGCCTGGTTCTGCTGGAGGTTTCTTCCTGTTAAAAGGGAGTTTTTCCTCTCCACTGTCGCTACAAGCATGCTTAGTGTGGGGGATTGTATTTGAGTCAATGAGTCAATGCAATCAACTGGTTTTCCTTAGATAGAAAACTTTGTATCAATTTGACTGTATGATCTGGTTGAACTGTAAAGTGCCTTGAGATGACATGTGTTGTGAATTTGGCGCTATATAAATAAACTGAATTGAATTGAATTGAATTGAATTTCCTGAAAAGATGAGAGATTAGACTTTCTGCTAAACCCCCTTCTAATGTAAAATATCACAGATTACTGGATTAAGGACATTTCTGTTATACGACATGCCATCACACATAAACAATTTCTGAGAATTTGGAAACAGTTGCTCTTTATTTACATGGTTGAGGACCTATTTATTGTTCCACGCTGCCCCTCCTCCCTTTCATCGTGGGGGGCAGATTCCCCTGCCCCTCCCATTTGCTGAACAAACTTCTGCTGCTGTTGTTTAACAGCATTTTAACCATTTATCATTTAAGCTGAATGTATTTTATGTTATTTTAATTGCACTGTTGTTCTCATCATACCTGCTGCTATTAGTGAATGTATTAACATCTGGCCTATCCTGGACAATCTCAGAAGCCAGTTAAAGGATTCTTAGGGTTTTATTCTTTTTCTTTATTCTTTTTGTTTTCGTTAAACTAGTCATTTAATCTACCTGGTGTTTATTTTCTAATAGCGTGTATTGTTTGCATAGATGTTAGATTTCTGTAATCCTGAATTATTAGAATAAAGACGTCAGTGTTTAACTTGTAGTGGTCTTGTAATCCATATAGCGGACTGTTTGTCACTGAGGCCAGAGACGCCCTCTTTTGGTAATAATTTAAATAAACAGAGACAAATAGTTATTTGATTGATAATTAATAGCTCTGCTGATAACCTAGCCTGGGTCACTATTGATCTGGATACCTGGATATAAACCGCCGGTTTAAATCCGGTGGATGGATGGATGGATGGATGGATGGATGGATGGATGGATGGATGGATTGATTGATTGATTGATTGATTGATTGATTGATTGATTGATTGATTGATTGATTGATTGATTGATTGATTGATTGATGGATGGATGGATGGATGGATGGATGGATGGATGGATGGATGGATGGATGGATGGATGGATGGATGGATGGATGGATGGATGGATGGATGTTTTAAACAAAATATAGAAAAATAATGACAGTTTCAAAATTCACAGGATTTCTTTCCCTCGTTATGGAAGAATGGATTATATCCGGTGTTGGGATCTGGAGTTTCTGCCACCTGTCTCCAGCAGAGAGCGCCCTGGGTCTCCTGAGCAGGAGCTTCAGGCACACCTGAGGATCATCAGCTGATCAGGAGACCAGCTACATAAGCAGCAGCCAGACCTGTCTTCAGTGCCAGAGTGTTGCCAAGTTATGGTTAGCAAAACCTGAGTCAAGCGTGCTAAGTCTGTTGTCTGATACTCTGAGGAGTAACCTGAGATCTAACCCGTTTTTGTCTTCTCTGCTTCCTAGACCTGTCTTGCTGCCCTCACGAGCCAAACCTGAAGATCCACAAGCTCTGTCTGATTCCAGTTCTCAGGAGAGAACTTTGGCAAACCCTCAAGGTCTATACTCGAATCTGAAGACAAGCTCTGCCGCTGCAAGCTCTCTGCTGCAACAACGAACTCTGGACCCAACTGGTTCCCTCTCTCACCGGGTCTGTCTAATTACCTTCAGGTACATTACTGAATCAGACTCTGTCAAGATTTCCCCAGACCTCCTGGCTAACCTAACTATACCTTCTCTACAGAGAACCCTCGTGAAGTCTGTCCCAGACCAGAACCTGTTTCCAATGATTTACTTGTGTGAACATCTTAATAAACTGTTTGAACTTTTACTCCCGTTCCCGTGGTGTGTTCTGCATGTGGGTTAATTCAGTAAGCCATCATGACATCCGGTGGCTAAAATAGTTGGTTTCCCTCTCATAATTTTGGCAAATAAAGATCAAACGTCACCAAATCCACAGAGTTTGTTGTTGATGAAGAGAGGAATAAACACAGTTAAAGACTTGAAGGTACATTTATTTAATCCCATGTTATGGAGGAGGATTGTTCTGTGTGATAGAATGTAGTTTACTAGAAATTTCCTTAATCCAGAAATCTGTCATTTTACATTAGAACTGGATTAACCACAAAGTCTCATTACAGTCTCATCTTCGCCCTCAGTGCTAAGCTTTTGATCTAGAATCCTAGATCCTCCCCTGGTTGAGATGTAGATTCCATCTTCCTTTAGAAGGGAAGGAAAGACAGCAGTGGGATCTGGAATGCTACTTTGGGAAAATGGCATTTTCCATTTTCACCCAAGGTCCTGCCGGCCACCAGATGTTGTTATCTGGTTTTATTGACGATGTATTTTTGCAGTTATGAAGAAGAATGTTCATATATGTGGTTGTAAATGTGTGTCTGTGTTGAAGAAAACCAAATCTTTTGAAATTGTGGCTGAATGTTTTCCTGAAATGACAGCATGTTTTCAATATTCCACTGCGACCTGCTAACTGTTAGTCTAGCCCCCGTCTGAACGCTACTTCTTCTTTGTCTCTGGTTGCAAACTACAGGTGATTCTTCATCTTCTTCTTCAAGATTAGGGGCAACCAACTTTAAAGGGCATTACAGCCCCCTACTGGAGGCTACTGCTGAGACAACAGGCCTACAACCTGCATTCACATTCACACAAAAACTGTATCTACAACTTGCTATAAGCCCTGTGTCCTTTGAAAAGTACAAAACAACCTTAAGCTGTGCTCTACTACTCTTTAAACTCCTTTGCATTCAGTTCTCTAAGCCTCCTCCTCCATAGTGCATGGTAGCCTTAACCTGCTCTACAGTCACCTTCTCCTGGAAACCTTCATATCTCCCAGGCTGGTGTTTCCCTCTGCTGTGTGTGATGATCTAACCTTACTGGTCTTTGCTACTCCTCATTAATACGCACAATTCTTTTTACCTCACATTACTTTTATTAAGAGCCTATTTTGCCAGTCTGTCCACTCCTCTGCCAGTCTGTCCACTCCTCTGCCAGTCTGTCCACTCCTCTGCCAGTCTGTCAACTCCTCTGCCGGTCTGTCCACTCCTCTGCCAGTCTGTCCACTCCTCTGCCCGTCTGTCCACTCCTCTGCCAGTCTGTCCACTCCTCTGCCCGTCTGTCCACTCCTCTGCCTGTCTGTCCACTCCTCTGCCGGTGTCTACTCTGGCAGGGAGTCAGGGACAGCACTGCTGATGCAGAGCGCTATGATCACTCCTCTGAAACAGTTAATTAACGCCTAAATTAACTTCAAATGTAGAAACCTGCCGGCAGAATATGTTGGCTTTTATTATCCTGCTGCCTGTAGTTTGTAGCATAATTATTGATAATAGTAAAACTGGTGGATTATGTTAGTTTGGTGTTTCATTTCCCCTTTAAACCTCGTTTCTTGGACATAAAATTTAAATTCTTTAATGGCAGCATTAGGAAAAACTGCATCATAGTGAATCCTGACTTTAGGGATTAGGGAGGTTTTCCTGGACCTCCTTCCATGGTAATCTGACAAGATTAGGATGATCTGCTGCTGCCTTTACTTTCATTTTTTCATTTTATTTCTGCAGTACTATTAATGACCCAGCAATGAACGTCACTAATGCCATTTTATCAAGGAAAGAACCTTTTGTAAACTATTTGGACAATTGTTCATCACATAGCTTTGAACCAGCATAGGCCTTGCTGGGCTACAACACAAGGGCTGCACCCCGTCCCACACCTTGACCCCATAACCGGGGTCTCTGCCACATCTTGCCCAGATGTGTAGATGGTCTGACTGGAAAGCTCATAACTTTGTCTGGCTGGTTTTCTTCCTGAAACTCAGTTAAAATGGTCTCAGTCCTCTTTAAAATTCAATTCAATTCAATTCAGTTTATTTATATAGCGCCAAATTCACAACACATGTCATCTCAAGGCACTTTACAGTTCAACCAGATCAAATTG